AAACTTAAAACAAATGTAGCAATTATAGCCGGGTATCTGAGTAGATGAAAACTTAAAACAAATATAGCAATTATAGCCGGGTATCTGAGTAGATGAAACTAAATACAAATGTAGCAATTATAGCCGGGTATCTGAGATGAAAACTAAAACAAATGTAGCAACTGTAGATAGGCATAAAGCAGATGAAAACTTAAAACAAATGTAGCAACTGTAGATAGGCATAAAGCAGATGAAAACTTAAAACAAATGTAGCAACTGTAGATAGGCATAGAGCAGATGAAAACTTAAAACAAATGTAGCAATTATAGCTGCATCGAGTAGATGAAAACTAAAAACAAATTAATCTCTATATAGCATTACAAGAAATGACTAGGGAATTTCAAGTAACGTAGCTATTTTGGAACATTATTCATAAAAAATTCTCTTGTTTTTATATTAAACTTTTCATTTAACATGCATACACTACACACACACATCCATATTATATTTCAACATTAAAACTTTAAATAATGAGTTTGATAATACCCTTGATGGTAAAGGTTGCCAAGAAAAAGTCTAAAAATAAAATTAAAAAAAAACTTAGTTAAAAATAAAACAAACTAAAATAATAATTGATCATTCCTCAATCTTAACAAATCAGAAACAAAATAAGTGAATTATTATCATTAAGAAATAATTCCCTATTTTATTTCGGTATTATCAAAATCCTCGTTCCTATGTTAAAGCACGATCAATACCGAACCTTGTATCAACTCCATACTTTAAATAGTTCTTTGTTTTGGAGTTTCTATGAATGTAAAAAAAACGTACTTACATGGTAAGCATACCTAAAAATATAATCACAACTATGTAAACTTCTTGGTATCTGTAGGGATCTAACTAGTAACATTACGCTTGATCAAAAACATGTTTTTAGTTATAAAGGTTTGTGCTGAAATTACCTATACTTTGAAGAAATTCTCCTTCATGTGAATGAGGAAATACAAAGAGATGGTAACGTGCATGATTAACAGGTACTTTTTTAGGCAGGTGTTGCAAGGTTGTCTGATCTCTGATTTCAAGGTTGATTTCCTCTTTGTCTAGGTCTATACTCTATAAAAATATAACAGAAAAACTTTGGTTTTTACATTACAAAACAATCATTTTCATAATTTTATATTAAATCAAGAGATTTATTTTCAATCACTTTTACTTTTAACTCCATACTGATTCATTAAACCAAAATAAATATCTCAGCTCTAAAAACAAGAGTTTGTTTAATAAAAATTCCCTTAAACCATTTCTTCAAATGAAGAAACATGTTGTGTCCCTACAGCAATTCCACAAGCCTTCAAAAAGAGTGCAACTATTAAAAATAAATAAAACAAAATTAAAAACCATATCTCATATATAAATTTAATTATATATATATGTATGTATGTATGTACACATGCACACATACTAAATGGCTTTAAACAATACCAAGCTGTCTCTTGTTAACAATCTTAACATTTCATCAATATTCATTCTGTTAATCTTAACATTTCATCAACATTCATTCTGTCAATCTTAACATTTCATCAATATTCATTCTGTCGATCTTAACATTTCATCAACATTCATTCTTTTATTTGAGCAAAAAAATGTATTTATGCTTAGAGAGAACACAAAAATATATATATCTATTTTTTTTAACTGTACAGTAAAAATTAAGATCTGCTTGAAGTCTGAATTCAAGACTTAGGCAGAGATAGTTAATTTATTCTTTTTTATATTTAGAACAAATGTTCACATACACTTCTTTTCCAATATACAAAGTTACAAATTTTACAATATATTATGCTATTTCAGTCCTCCTTTCAACTTTCAACAAAACAACTGTATATTTTGAGTATATTTTCTCACTCATATGACAAAGACTGTGTTTCTTATTTTTATGTCAAGACATTTGTATTGCCTTTTTTAAATCACACACTGACAGTGACTCACCAACTGTACATAATTAACTAGTCCTTCCTTCAAATCGAACAATGCACTAACTGCATCATCTGAAATGGGGAAAGCAACTCCTTGTAATGTTTGATGTTTGGTGTCGATTCCAAAGTCAGTTCCAGACTACAAGATAAAACAATCCTCCTTCAATTTTAACAAAAATATTAAGCTATAAGGAAATTCCTATTAATACACTAAAACCAGTGTATAAATAATTCATTGTTACTGTACAATTATCTACTGACTGTTAACAATTAATCATATGCTAAGAAACTATAGTTATTACACACACGGTTCTGAGAAAAATCAATTACTCTACACAAGTAATTGATGACATGAAACTTTATTTTAATGCAATAAAATAATTAACTTTATACCACCTATAAACTGAGTTGTAAAATAAAATATACATAGGAATTAATTTTATTAATCAATAACACAGAGGATTAAGTACCTTATATTAAAATGATTTTAGATACGCAAGTCAGAAAGTCACATGAAGTAGTGGAACAACATGTACCAGAACTACATTTTGACTGACATTTTCTGTTCGGCGTGATGCCACCAAAAATGTACCGAGAAATATATGCAATAACCCTTTCCAACACAAACACAGTGATCACAAAGAAGTGTCCACATCGTGGATTTACAATTTCCAAGATAGTAATATCCCTTGTACTAAATGATATTGAAACACAATGAAACATGGTCCAGGTTGGAACATCAGGACCATCCAGAAAGACCTGTAACAAGTTGCACCAAAGGTCTGGTAAGCAAAATGTGGTGTCTTGTAACAGATGAAAATTCATAAATGCAAAGGACAGTGGGAAAAGCCATCCACGTGCCCCGGGCCAAAAGTATGCAATATAATCAAGAAGGATCTCGATTTAGAAAAATGACACAAACTGTAAAATAAAATAATGTAAGAAGCTGGAGAATGAAATGGCCATTCATGCTATTTAATACAAAGACATACAAATCAATGGGTGCAGCATCTATGGACATTTCTGAGTGATTGGACTATTGAAACAAGCACTGGGAATCCACCATCCTTTTACACTAGAGAGGTTATGGAAAGCACGCAGCGAGGAGATGTGTTCTTTTCAACATGATAGCCCTATGACAGTCTTTTGCAATGGAAGCTATGATACAGGGCTATTTTAAAAAGACAGTTGTTAGATAAAGCTCACCAAATGTGGCCACATGGACTGCTATGACATGGTTAGACTCCCAAATTGTTTTTATATAATGTATTCAACCTCTGTATCTGAACTGTTTTTCAAAAAGAAAATAAGTTATTTTGATGAAATTTTAAAATGCTGAAAAAAAACCACTGCAACTAATTTATGAACAAGAGTTCATTATTACTGAAAATGTAATAACATTCCTTGTTTTACAGACATAGAATCATAAAATGTTGACACAATAATGAAAGTATTGAATTGAATTCTTCACATATAATGTAAGTTTTTGTAAAGATAAATGTTTTGATATTGAAGTATACTAGAATTCTCTATCAGTGCTTGTATTTCAACTCTGACAGTCTTAATGCCTGACAAAGGGCATATGTCTGAAATACTGCACAAGGTAAAACTATAAAAAGTTTTCATTTATATGTATCAACTTATTCTTATGTCTTTAATAAGGTTTCCACATTTTATATTCATTAAAAAATTGTCAAAAAAAGAAAGTTTTTGAATATGATGAATCATGTTTATAAGTTCAATAGCTAGGATACAAGACATTTACTGATTATACTTATATCATTTCTTTATTGCTAACCAGATTCAAATAAAAAAACAGATTTTTATGCATCATATAAAATGTTAACTTTTGGTATTGGCTGGTTACAAAATACACTTTATTGTAAATGTTTACCAAATCCTCGTTATGAAAGGTATATTGTAAATGTTTACCAAATCCTCACTATGAAAGGCATATTGTAAATGTTTATCAAATCCTCGTTATGAAAGGCATATTGTAAATGTTTACCAAATCTCTATAATGAAAGGCATATTGTAAATGTTTACCAAATCTCTATAATGAAAGGCATATTGTAATTGTTTACCAAATCTCTATAATGAAAG